AATTCAAAGTTCAGTTCAGGTTCAGGTTCAAAGATCTGCAAAATTTGTGGTTCAGGTTCAGGTTCAGTTCAGGTTCAGTTCAGGTTCATTGAACCTAAATTTGAACTGAACTGAACCTAGGAACCCTAATTTTAGCAATGAATATTAGTGATAAAAATATTCAAATAAAACAAGATAAACATATTGGAAATATAGAACAAGTGGATGAAAAAGAAACAATCGGATATGATCCCAAATTTTTTTCTTCAAAAAAATTAGGAGAAACTGAAAAAGAACGAATAAAAATATTACAAGAAAGATGTAGAAATAAAGTGTGGAAAATACTTGGAGATGTATTAACAGAATACATAGATGAATTTAGAGAAAAACAGGAAATAAGAATTTCCGTGAATAATAATGTAATTCCTGATATTCAATTTATATTGAATAAAAAAGAACAAGAAATTCCTGATAATGATAAAAACCAAGGGATAAGAAAATATACTATAGAAGAAGAAAAAATTATTAAAGAATTATGTGAAGATTTAAAAAAAAATGATGTTATATATCTCGGATATAGCAAATAGGCAAGTAATATACAAATAATAACCAAAAAAGATGGAAGAAAAGCTATAGTAATCGACTATAGAAGATTAAATAAACATTTAGTAAAATTTAAACAACCATTACTAAATACAATGCAATTCTTGCAAAATATTAGTAGATATAAATACTATACAACAATAGATTTAAAATTGGCATATTGGCAATTAAACGTACACCCAAAATCACAAAAATATACAGCAAGTAGATTTGGAAGATTTGGGATATATCTTTGGAAAAGATTACCATTTGGAATAACAACTGCATCAGTATATTTAATAGCAGAATTAAATAAATTATTCAAACAATTTGATTGGTTAAAAATATATATGGATGATATGACTATAGTAGCGAATTCACCAAAAGAAATGAAAAAACAACTAAAGTGGACTTTAGCAATCCTCAAAAAAGCAGGGCTGAAACTCAAGCCATCTAAATGTGAATTCTTAGTTAATGAAACTACTATACTCAATTGCAAAATTCGATATAAAGAAATATGGAAAAATGCTAATAAAGAAGCTCTAATCAATAGCAAAGCTGTACTATCTAATAAAACTGAAATACAAGCCTTTATGGGATTCATGAATTACTTCCGACTATATATATTAAACTATTATATGAATTAACTGGAAAAACCACATTTAATTAGACAGATAAATGTCAAATAGCATTCGATAATCTTAAAAAAGAAGTTAAGCGAAACATATATCTTTCATATCCAGATCCAAACAAACCTTTCTTTATGGAATGTGATGCCTCACAAACAGGTATAGGAGCAATATTATATCAAGAAAATGAAGAACAAGAACACTATAAACAAACTGAAAAACAACTTAAAGAAGGACTTCTAAAAGAAGAACTCAAAAAATATTATAATAATCCACCAGCTTCAAACAGACGAATTATAGAATTAGAATCAAGAGGCTTAAGTCAGACACAACAGAATTGGCCTGCAACACAAAGAGAAATGTATGTAATATATACATTCTTAAAACAATGGTGACATTACATTGGCAATCAAGAAATACACATTTATACTGATGCAACTGGAATATCTGCAACAAAAAAAACAACTGTTACAAGCAGAACAATTGAAAATTGGATAATGAATTTACAAGAATTCAATTATATTATACATAGAATACCAGAAGCTAAAAATAAGGCAGCAGATTTATTATCAATAATAACAAATAATAAAGAAAATAAATCTTTAAAAGATTTGATAAATATTACAATTGAAGAAGAAAATTAATCGAAATAAGTATAAAAATCAGAATCATCCTGATCATAAGAATAACCTATACAATTACAAATATAACGGTTACAAAGAGAACAGTTGTAATAAGACAAAGGTTTTCTAGTCAAAGGAGAAAAATAGGTACCATCAAGATGTATATTATTACTCTCATTATCGGAATTGTTATTACGAGAGTTATCAACAACGGAAGAATCGGTGTTGTCAAAAAGCAACTTTGTATTATTATTAATATAATCCTTAAAGTAGAAAAACTGAAAAAGATTAAAAATCATTTCAATACGAATAAAACTTCTTCATATTTTAAAAGAAATAAGGAATTAAAATTTGTTCAACATACAACTACAGCAAGTTAGAAATATTAAGTAACTTACTCCGGTTGGATGATAAACCAATAATAAAATCTTTATTATCATCTTTGGTAAAAAACAAGTTCAAAAATCCATACCTCAAGAAGTGAAGGATCTAAAGAAGGATCAGAAATTATGTAAATGTCTTGACTGTTATCAGATTTGGTAATCTCGCCAAAAGGAGGCTTAATTATAAGAAATTCAGGATTTTCATCCTCATCGCAACCGATAGCCTCGAATTCGAGAAGGTAATCGTTGATGAGAGATCTTAAGGAGATAGATTCACTAGAATGGCAGTAGTGATCTATAATATCCTGAAAAAAATGATCCCTAAAAGAGGAATTCCAATAAATACGCCAATCAAACATAGAGACATCCTTACCCTCACCAAAGTCAAAGTGTTGAGTGATAACACTCTCCATAAAAAACTAAATACGTTGATGAGTGCCCATACTATTCTGCTCTTTAGCAAAAGTAATATCATGAAGATATTTGGCAAAAGGATAAAAAATATAGACTATACAACTATTGAGTTCAATACGAAAATAATGATAGTCATTAAAATCGAGGTGAGAAGAAATATCAGAGCTGGTTAAAGTAAAAGCCATAATACTTGAAAAGGAAAATAAAGAAAAGGAGTAATTGGAAAAATAGGGAAATTACTGAATAAAGATATATTAAAGAAAATAAATATATAAAAATGATCAAAATGAACATTGAAAAGAAAGTGCTTGAAAAACCACCGGATTTATAGAAAAGAGTTACGAAAATAAATCAGAAAGAAACAAGAAATGAAAAATAAAGAAATCCCGACAAGATACGAAATTAAGAAAATCTTGGAAAATGAATCTGAATGTATCCTGTATTTACAAGCAAACAGAATCATTAATCGAGAATTAGAATGTCCAAAGTGTAAAAAACAAATGAAACAAGATAATGCCAAAATGTTTATTTGTAGCAACCGAAAATGTAGAAAGTCACAATCAATATTTACAAACTCATGGTCTGAAAAAGATAAGATATGAGTCAATGAGATATTAGAAATATATTATTATTGGTTATTAAAGATACCAAGCACATCTATAGCAATAACCATGGGAAAAGATCCAAGTACAATCAGTTACCATTTAAATAATATCAGAAACCTAGTAGGATTCCACGTACAAGAACATAAACAAAAGATAGGAGGAAAAGATATTATTGTGGAGATAGATGAAACCAAAATGGGAAGAAATAAATATCATCCGTTATTGGTGCATGGGTATTCGCAGGAGTAGAAAGGACACCTGATAAAAAAATATTTGTGACAATAATACCAGATAAAACTGAAGATACCTTATTGAGATTAATTAAAGATAATATTGAACAAGGATCGATTATTTATTCAGATTATTTTAGATCATACAAAAATATTGACGATAAGTTTAACTTTGAGCATATGACAGTAAATCATTCTGAATACTTTGTAAATCCAGATACTGGAGTTCACACAAATACTGTTGAAGGAACATGGAACGGAATAAAAATCGGAATACCTGCCAGAAATAGAACTAAAGATAAGATACAATCATATCTATTAAAATTCATTTGGAGATGACAAAACAATGATAACTTATAGGAAAAATGTTACAATGTTTACAAAATGAATTATTGATTGAAGATAAGGAAATTGTAAACAAAAATAAGCCTAAAACGCATATTGAAACAGATATGGAAACCTGATGCGCATCTGATGACAAATAAATATAAATAAAAATAAGGATAACAATTAGTAACTCTGAAAGTATAAAAGAACCCTGAAAATAAGTTACCAAAAATCTCACCATCATATGGCTCATCAAGAAAACCAAGAAGTACAAAATACTAAACTCTGGATATGAGGAATAATAATTGATATACGAAATCTTCTTACAAGAAAAGAATATAATGATCGACAAATTTTAGAAGTATTCTTGAAACAAGAACTTGTTACCTTAACAAAGGAACAAAGGGAAACTATCCCAATAACTGAAAACGAAAAAGAAACGCTAATTGAAAAAATCACGGAATTAGCAGAAGACTTATACTTAGATATTAACTTAAATACCACATATTTTGGAATTGTTAATCAAATTAAAGAAGTAAAAAATAGTCAAGATCTCTTTGAAATCAAAGAAGTACAAGAATCAACAATTAACAGAATATACATATGAGTATATAGGAAATATATAATTGGCAAAAGAAAACACAATTTGAATTACAGATTAAAAAACTTGAAGAAGTATTACAGTGCAAATTTGAACAAAACAAACCTAATTCATATCCTGAATTAACCAACCAGTTAATATCAATACTCAAGTATTGGAAAGAATATTTAGAACCAAACAAACAACAAAGAAAAGAATTAGAAACTTTCCCAACTATTAATCCAAACCTAACCAGCAAAGAATTAATTCAACAATTAATAACTGAAGCACAAAAATGGAAGATAAGAGTTCAAGCCTCGGATCCAACCAGAATCAAAGTAGTATCAATAGAATTGGAACCAATCATGATATATCTCCAATCGTTCCCACTACAAATGACACAACTCTGGTTATTAACGGAAATGCAATACAATCAAGTATTCAACAATCTCAAGGAGTTCTGTACCCAAGAACTATTGAAAATACTCTCTTCAATAAAGAAATCACAACTATTGGAAATGCAGAAAGTAATCAAACAAACCTGGAGCCAATTCATGACAAATGCCCAGTCTGCAATAAAACAGGACACACCCAACAAACCTGTTCATTATCAATCTGTACACAATGTAGAAAAAGAGGACATATCCAAAAAGACTGCCCACTCTTCACATGTATGAAATGTGGAAAACAAGAACATGCCCAAGCAAACTGTACTAATCGATGCTCAGTATGTAATAGCTATAAATGTTATGGAAAGAAATGCCAAGTAAACCAAATTATACAATTGGCAAAAGTTCGTAGATGTCAAAACTGTAGAAGAATAGGATGCAAGGACACAAATTGTTAGTGACCAACTCAACCACCAGTTTGGGAAAGAACCAATGAATGTACCTATTATTACCAAGAAGGATATATTTTTAAAAACTGTTCCTTAAAGCATATAGAAAATAAAAACAAGAAATTTCAATGTGGATGCAATGAAGCAACCATCAATACCACCAACATTGATTTAGAAGACCCAACCTCATTATCATATCAAATGAAACATACATACCATTGCTGTGGATGCATGATATACTTTGAAAGAAATAAATTAGAAGTAATCACCAATCAATTAGACAAAAATCACCTCTACTGTAAAGAATGTAGATTTGAATTTGCCAAAACATTATCAATGCATGATAAACAACAAAAAGAAATACTTAGACAACTCAACAGAGAAGGAGTATTAAAAGAATATACCATGTGCAAAACACCCGAATTGAATAACAAAATGCAAAATGAAGAACAAAACTTCTTTTGCGAAATGGAAGAAAAATATGCATGGATAGCATATATAGACACTGAAACAAATCCAGACATGAGTGCCGAACTACGAATTCACCATTACTGCTACTCTACCAAAGTAGCAGGATACCAATATAATATGAACTTCTCAAAGATAGTAAGAATATACCTCTATTTACAGGAAGAATTAGAATTGAAAAAAGCTCTTGAAGAAAGACAGGAAGATATATATACTCATGATGGAGTAATAAAATTTGAAGAAGAAATAGAAAATATTTATCAATAGAAGACTCAGGAAAATAGAAAGAATTATTAAAACAAAGTACTGAAAAAAGATGGCTAAAAGTCAAAGAAGATAATCGAATTTATAGTATTGAATATGATAACAAAACTAATATAGCTTCAAAAGTTATAATTGACCAACCAGTTGTATGCAATAGAGGATGTAACTCGGTTCTCGACAACCTAACCCCAAGCTATAAAAAAGGAAATGAAAATTACTGTGAATACTGCTATTATACCGAAATACTTCAATATATACCATATCATGGATGCCAAAATCATTAGTGCCAAAGTGATTTGCAAAAAGAATATCAACGATGTTCAGAATGCTTACAAGAAGCATTGGAAATCGAATCATCGAAACCTAAACAAAAGAAAAAATCTCAGAAGAAAACACTTTAACTAATGGATAGCAAGAAGCTATTGAAAGATTATCGACCTTAGAAAAAGAAATGAAATTCTTTAAAGAAGAAAATAATAACCTATAGCAAGTATTGGAAACAGTAATGTCAAATGAAAGAAGCTTCGTAATTGATCAAATCCGACATAAAGGAGAATTGATAAGTCAGTATATTGAAGAATGTGAAATATTCGAAAAATATTTAGCTTTTATGAGATATGAGTTCAGGGATAGAAAACTCAGAAAAAAAGAAGAAGCTAATGCAGCATGGTATGCAGCTATTGAACAAAAAAGTAAATGAGTTGAACAAGACAACATGGAAGATATTCTTCTAACAGAAGAAGAAGCTGTACAAGGAGCAACCAACATAGCTATTGAAAACTTATTAACTAATTATGTTTTCAAAACTGAAAGAAATCGAAGCAACTTAGTATTTGAAAATAGAATAACCGACCTATTGGAAATATCAAGAGATGAGTTCTATAAAACTAGAACTACCCCGAACACACCAAGAACCTCACCAACCATTAATATTAGCTTTAATTAAATATATATAATCTATAAAAGGCGTTCTAAAGAAATAGGAATAGATCCAAAAAGATGACCTATCCTGGAAGAGAACGATTGCACTATGCGATGGAAGGAGCATAGTAGCAAAATTGAAACAAAGTCAATGTGAAATAATTCTACCAGAGTTATATCAAACAGTGTGGAATAAACATTGGCGCCCAACTTTATTACTTAAAGGGGACTTTAGCAAAATATTTTATCAATAATTCTGGTAATAGAACAATATACACCAGAACAACCACTGGCGTTCAAGTAGATTGATAACCCACAAACTATTTTAGTAAATATAATATAATATATATAATTAACATATATTTAATGTAAAAAATATTATTATTTTATAAAAAATATAAAGGACACTTCGTCAGAGAAAACAGAATATAGGCACTCCGTAATATATATAATCTATGAGATATAGATGTAGATGAATCAAAACTAATAGAAAACACACATGGGCACAAGTGTGCAAGTCCGCCAGTGAAGTCAATCAGCCTGGTAGTAGAAAAGGGATTGGTAACCCCTGACTGACCGTGAACTATTAGCGCCTATATATCTACATAGAAAGCGACTGTGCTATGCAAGGAGGGGCATAGTATAGTAGTCCGTTAGCATTATCAATAAGCCTAATGAATAAAAAAGAATTGGTAATTTCTGGCTACACAGAAATAATAATCAAAATATTTATTGGAAAATAGTTATACAAAAATTAATAATAACAAAAAGATAACTGTTGGCACACAAATATGTGTGTACAACAAAAAGATAAGCAATAGGATTAGTGAAACCCATACGCAACCTTATTTACAAACAACATTAGTAATTCCATATAAAGAATAACAAAATAAGAAAATAGATATTGCCCACTGAGATATCATTGAACAAATGAAATTCTATGATAAGAAATTATCAAAAGAATTATCACAACTGTACTTTACAAAAGTATATAAAGAAGAACAATTCGAACAACCTAAACTTCACTCTCACAAGTAAATGGATCAAGAAAAAATAATCAAAGAACTTCAACAGAAAATTTAGAACCTAGAAGAATTTAAAAGAAAAGCAACTGAAGACATTACAAGATTAAATTATTGCTTTCACACTCTTTATCGATATAAACCCAGATACTGTCCTAACGAGTATTCTGCACCCTTCGGAACAGACTCAGATGACAAAACAGTATACTTTCTTAGTAAATCTCAAATTAAGAAAGAAAAGGAACAGAAATAAATGATCGTATCAGAATACTTTCAAAACGAACTATTACCATTTCTAGCAGAAATACTAGAATATATCAAAACTAATAACCTGAGTGAAGAAGAAATTGAAAAAATATTTCGAATTCTGGCAAATAATATTTAACATAATGAATAACACTCAAAGAAATTATATTATTCAAGACCTAATAAAAAGATTCCAAAAAGAACATGATAAAGAATTTGAGGAAATGGAAAACTCTGAAAAATTCCTAATCATAATGTACTGTCCATGGCTAAAAGCCGAAAGACCTTTGAAATGGATAGACATAAAAAGAAAAATTAAACTAGAAAGAAAAATAAAACCAAATCTGGAGAAGGTCATTAAGGAAATTGAAGAAATTCCAGAAGAATTTATTAAACTTATCCAACAAATCAAAAAAGAAATAACTACCTTTGAAGAAAGTTTAAATGCAGTAGATCATGTATACAATAATAAAAAAGCAATATGTCCGGTACATGGAAATAATTGCTTGAATTACATTAAAAGAAAAACTGAAATAACTCTTATACTTGAAAAAGAACGAAAAAAAAAAACTCTATTTAGATTTAATTATTGAACAAATGATACAATATGGAAGAGACTCATTCACAGATATATTCTCTGAATTAATAAAGAAAATAATTGATTTCTTAGATAATGTAGGAGATGAATTCTTGGAATATTACAAGAACCATATGAAAGAAGAAGATTATGAAAACCTGATAAGAAGAAAATTGATCAAAAATCGAGAAGATTGTTGGAAGATAACCACCAACGTAATTAATGGATTGCCAAGAGCAGGACAATATAAAAAATTTATAGAAATCAGGAATTGGATAGCAAAACAAAATCAAGAAAACCAAGAATTAAGTGATTGGATACAAAGAAAAGAAATAGAAGAAATCCGAAAATTAATATTAAAAACTGTCAGTAAACAACAAATAATAAAGGAAAATTCCTTTAGAATAAATTCAACCAAAGGAATAGAAGATCGGAAACGACAGAAAGAAGAAAGAAGACAAAACCTATTAACTACAAAACAGACCCCTGAAAAAACTAAAGAAATATCAGACAATGAAGAATATTTTAATAAAAAAGAATTTGGACAAAAAAAGTTCTGAAAAAGTAAAGACTTCGATAAACAAAAACCAAAAATATATAAGGAATACATTTATCAATCAAAATTTAAGGAGGAAATAGACCAAACAATCTTAAATATACTTAAAAGAAATAATAGACTGCAAGACCATAAGTACTTCTTAACATCAAAAATAGCTCAAACAACCATCAATAGAGGATATGATTACTTTGACGAAATTTTGGAAAAGAAATCCATACAAGCTATCTTAGTAGTAGCGACCGGAGCTATAGGAGTAGGCAAAACCTATGGATTATTACAATTAAAACAATTTTTTAATAATTGTAAGCAACATGTGATCTTACATGAAGAAATTACCTTACAATATAAATCTTTATTTAAAATATTCTACGATGACCCAAAGAAATATGCATTTGCTTTACAAATTGCAATCTTACAAGAATGGGCAACAAAATATCAGCAAATACTTTTATTAGAATCTCAAGGAGATATTACACCAACTATGTATATCCTATGTGATCGAGCATACTTGGATACTAAAGTATTTACAGAAGAGAACATAAATCGAAAAGAAGAATTAGAGATCCTGGATGATATGTGTAGACAAATTATATTTAAAATATTTAAGAAATATAAATACCAATTATTCTTTGACCCAGGAGAAAAGGAAATGCTTAAAAGATTTGTACAAAGAAGGGATCTAGATGGAAATAAAGATATTGATAAACAGATTCCAAAAGAATATCTTATTAAAATTTATAAACGATACAAACGGATGATACCAACATTGTATCCAGAATACATCATTCTCAGAAACAATGTACAAGACCTTAGTCATATGTTTAGAACACTATTTATACGAGAACTAAAATACCAAGAAAATAGAATGGAGGAACTCCATATAGATCACCCAGAAGATATAATGGGAATAACTTACAAACAATATACAGTAACTATCTTAATGAATCAAAAGTTTAAAATACTGTCTACTACAAGATTAGACATAACAATATACCCATATCAAAAAGAAACACTTGGAGGAGGAGTAGAAATCTATAATAAATCCATCAAAGAATTGGCGATAAGAGAATTCATTAAAGAAACAGGATATCAACCTGAGGAAAAAAAAATGCAATTAATTCTTAATCATCAATACCTCTCAATAAATAAAAATGGAACCAAACCAGCAATAAGAAAAATACATTTTATCTCAGATGTAACAAAATGTATAGAAATAGTAACTTACTTATACTATGTAAAACCAGAGGAATACAATCTATTCACAAATGCTAAGAAAACCAAGGCCGAACCAAGAGAATGGATAACTCACAAAGAATGTAGATACCATTTATTCACACCGACTTTACATTATTATAAAGATGAAATCTTTACTAAATATATATCTGGATATTATAATGAATATTTCTGAAAAGGAAAAGTGACTAATCTACAAGTACGATATAATTGGATTAACAATGAGATGATTAACATTATAAGTGCCTCATCTGAAATACCCGGTATAGATTGAAATCAGAATTACCATATAAGGCTCTAACAGCGCTTCCGGTATACAGGGAAATACAAAGCAAATCCCCGGAAAATCAATTTACAGAAACAGTTATATTTAACCAAGAAACTATCTGAATAAAACTGACAATCTTATGATCACTGGATGATCATATGCTGACACCACAATACGATCAGCAAGATAACAATCGAGAAGTAGATCAAGTGCGACGAACAAAACAAGAAATCAAGACCGATATGAAACCAAGAAACAAATACTTAATCGTTTGTATTATCAGTAAGACCATGTGTTAACCCACGATGGCAACTAATCTTTTACTTTTTAGTATCTTTTAACAATTAGAGATAATTAGCTTATACGATAGTATAGAAACAAAATAGTTTAGTTTTGAAACTTTTAAATTACCGTATAGTTCCGAAATTAAGCACACTTTTTTTGTTATAAGAGGTGCTTATTTTCAGATATAATTTTAAGAATAAATAATATAGAATTTTTGTATTAAGTAACTTGCCTTCTGTTTCTAAATAAACCTGTTCCCCATGTCAAGACAATTCTAACGGCAGTAAAATCATAAAAATTTGCCCAGTAGAACTTTTGCAATTCTCTTCAAAATTTGGGCGACGTTTGTTTACATTTGCTTTACATGATCTGCATACTTATAAACAAAAGTTGCACGAACTTTGAAGAGCAATTGTAAGAGTTCTACTGGATCAATTTTGATGATTTTACTGCTGTTAAAATCGTCTTGACTTGGTGAATAACTTTACTTAGAAATATAAAGTAGGCTTGCTTGGTAAAAAATCAGTTATGGTTATACATAGGGGGTGCTTATTTTCGGATATTACATAAAATTTGATAGTGCTTAATTTCAGGGGGTGCTTAATTTCGAAACTATACGGTAGTATTATTCTTGAATGTATTGTTTAAAAAGTATTTAAACACTCGATTTTTACCTTCAAGAAAAACTTCGTAGCATATAAAATATATTTTACCAACGTATAATTTAACTTTGATAGCATTTACCCTTATAATTACTATTGACTAGTAATTATTGTTCAAATTAATCACTTAAAGAAACTATTGAATTATAATCCCGTATATGACTTACCTTATCGAAAATTATTATAGCGATTCATTATTAATATTTATTCTTGCACTATTGTTAACTGTATTAACAATACCTTTACTGTTACTTGCATCGATAGCAAGTCAATATATTATTTATCATAACATAGCTTAAACTACTCTTGTCATAACATAACAAAATTATTAAATAACGAATATATAATCATCGTATTTTATTATCTTATTAAATAAACATATTATATTTAAAGAAACTTATAAATATACATAACGTATCTCACTTATATCAAATACATTTATAACTTGAGAATAAAACCAATAACGAAGAACTGTTAGTGAATAAAGAGACTAACACTGTAAAACTCTTAGACTAATCATCTATGACAAATACTATACTATTGGAATAAAACAAGTGGAAACTTTAATAAAAATCAACACCTTAGAATTAGTTATTTTAGTTTTAGTATCAATATATATAAGCAACGTATCGACACAGATAGTTATATCAATACCTATTATAGTACAACCAACAACATTGACAATAATCACTCCAACATCTACAACAACCAAACCACAGTAACTTCATTCAAACTATCGGAAACACCAATTATAGCAACTCCAGATCCCAACAATTCTGCTAACAACAATAATAATCTTTTAACTATTATTGAAATATTAGGAACCACATTAACTGTATTAACTACTATTATAACTATATTGATATTCTGTATCAAGAGAATACAAAAGAAGAAAAGAAACTATAAAAATAAATTAAATGAAAGACTACAATTACCCGTATCTAGACCTACTGAGCAGCAACAAACACCCTTTACCAGACCACCAGCCAAAACACTTAATTAGGAACAAGTTCAAAGTTTAGCCAACGATATAAGAAACAATCAACGAAACAATAGACAATTCAAAGGAATAGGAACCGGATTACTACAACAACCTCAACTAACTAGACCAAAAAGACCAGGCAAATTTAAATGAGTACCAACACTACAACAATCACAAGCAGAACAAACAGATTCTGACAATTGGTTCACTGACGCTTCATATAACTGAACCTTTCTTTAAATGCAATTGAATAAGAAACATACTATTATTATTACATCTTTATCAATTATCTTTGCTATTATACTTACTATAATTCTTCTACGAGAACCACCTCAGACACAAGTAACTATATCTGAAATTGTACTTATAATTACAGTTATAACAGGATTAGGATTAGTAGCATACACCGCTCTACAACCTATTATTGTTAATGACAACAACTGAAACTCCAATTATTATCTGCAACAATACTATACTTCAACCACCTGTATCAACATTACTGTTAATATTAATATTCACCATATTTTTGTGGATATTGACTATAATTACCATTTGCTGCATTCAACAACGGAGTAAGAAACGCCTATATAAGCAAAACCCAAACCTAGCCTATTACTAACAAGAATCTACAGGCTGTTGTTAAAGAAACTAATGACCACTAAAACACCCATATCTCCACCTGATACTACCACTACAATAATTATTACTGCAACAATTATTGGAACCTTTTTGATAATATCTATTATCATTGCAACTATTATATACCATATCTGCCATAAACAGAAAATCAGAAACCGACAAAATAAACAAAATAAACAAATACAACTCAGAAACATATACCAACAACCAATACCAATATCTCTACAGCAGAACGAAAATCTATTTGACGGACAATATAATTAATGTTTTGTATCTTCGGCCAGAAGAAGAAAAGAAGCATTAAAAGAAAACAATTATATAAACAAAGAAGAAACTTCAATATTACAAATCAACAGCAATAAATTAGGAAGAAACACTCAAGATATATATTTTCTATTCGGAGACACACCAAGAACTAAATGAAACTATTATTAATATTACTATTGATCTTAATATTAGTTATATTAGTTGCAGAACAACAATTTATATTTATTACACTAAATATACCAATACCAACAGTAACCAAAATAATTACAGAATTCATTACAGTAACACCCGTAATTACAACAATATCTACCACAGTAATTGAAACCGTAACAGCAAACATAACCCAAACACCAAGTTACTTTAATGACCCAAATATCATAACCCAAGACATTTCAACAGTTATAGCAATTATAACTATCGCAGGAGTAATAGCTTACGTAAAATACCAAGCTCATATCCAAAAGAAACTCAATATTGCAGATAAGTATACAACAACAATTCAAAGACAGGGAGAAATAATTAACAACACAATCATGCCCATAACAAATGTCTAGCAAGGAAATCAGATATAAGGATACAGAAAACCAACCTTATCATTTATACCAAACAGTGGATGAAATACTTGAAGAACTAGAAGAATTAGAAAAGAAGCAAGATCGAATTGAAAAACAAGAAACAGAATATAAATATATAGAATTATCAAAAGAAGAAGAAGTAATTTATTACAA